CATACGAAGTGATTTCGGATATAGGTGAATTAACTTAAATCTGTCTATTTTGAGTCCATGAATCTGTGGTCTTCCGTTGTACACGTTATTCTGGGACACCCTGTACTGAAGCAATAAATAAAAATTTGATAAAACGAGACACGTCAAACCGAAACTAAAATGACAGAATTTAAGAAGTAGATCTTCTAAAGTGATGTCTTAAAACAATATAGGCTGATAAAATCGTTTATCAAAATTTCAAAACAGTCTGTTAAACCGTTCTGGAAATGTTAAGATAATACTAATTTTTATGAAGTTCAACACCATCTTTGTAAGGAGGCATTTTGAAATAAAGATCTATTTGATAAATTATTTTGTTTTGGCGAGATGTTTCGCTTAATTTTTACACCTAATTATGACTCACCCTATATATAATAAGTAGTCATATGTCAATCACTTAACTATAGTGATTAAAAAGGTTACAGCCTTTTTCCTTACAAGTTTATTCCCATAGGTTATCTACCCTTATACCAAGTGTAAAGAAGGATATAAAAGTATTTATACAGTGTGTATCACGAAGAGGGTCCAGTAGGATTATCGCAAAAAGTAGTCAAAATTGAAATCTAAAATAGAAAAATCTACGAGTACGGTGGGTTTATTTAAAGCATCGCCCTTTTTAATTTAATATACTGAATTATTGTTTTTGATGAAAGTATAACGATAATAAAAATTACAGTTCATTAATCAGACACCGTTTATTATTCAATTTGTTAGTGCATCAAGTCCACCGTACATTTTTCTGTAAAATCAATAATTTCCAATTTACACAAGAACTGTTAACTTTGGATATAGGATGTAGGGAACTATATTTTAAAGTAAATTTAATTCTGCATCCATTAATGTCATATTATACAGGGTGTATCATTTGAAATTTTTGAATAAATCCAACTCCGCCACAATATTGGCGCCACACGTTTTTAAACACTCTGTATTTTTGACATAAATTCCATTGCTTTTAAATTATCCATGCCAAATTTCATTAATAAATAAAGCAAAATGTCGGAGTTATTCTATTTTCAAAAATGACTTACATCGCTCAATTTTTTTTGGAAAATTAATAACTTGAAAACTGTCACATTTTGGCCCATAGTACCTTATATGAAAACAGTCTAGAATTTGCCGTAGAAATGAAAAATGCATAAATATACATAGTGTTCTATTTGAAATACAGAGCTGATGATGACTTCCGGTATAACCGGAAGTGCGAGAAAGTGAACACTATTTTCATTGAATAGATCTATTTGATAAACCCCTGTATACAAGTCTTCAGACTTCAATTCTGACTAATCCTACTGGGCCATGTTCGTGATACACTCTGTATACACAGATCAATTTTTTTTCAAGAGCAGTAACTTTTGGAGTACAATGCAGTAATGAAAAAGTCTCTCTCGATTTTATAAGCTCTCGTTAGTGGTTGAGTAATCTCATCTTTATGAAATTAACATCTTAATTTTTGTACATATTATATAACTGCAAATAGATTAGTATGAAATTTTTTAATGCGTGGTTCAGTTGTTTTTAAAAATTCAGAAATATATTTTCTATTTATCTATGAAATTTTCTTAAAGAAGTAGGTAAACTTTAACAACTATGAGGCACATGAGAAAATGTTGGGAGGTATCTTTCAAATAATACTGAAAGAGGATTACAAAAAATAAAAAAAAAATAAAAAACCTTAATTTTTATATTATTTCATAATAATGCAAACTTCACTTTCCACTACCCATTTCAGTTTCTATAAAACGTATCTTGTAATGTGATGTGATAAAAATACGTACCAAAAAATTTGAAAAAAAAAACAACCTGAATTCTGTAATGGAATATTTTAGTGTATGAAGTTTTTGGTTACCACTTCCAATATTTTGGATTGAATAGGAGACACATTGTATTATTAAAATTCATTTATGGAAACAAAATTTGAATTAGTTTATTTTCCTCAGAAAATTTCAGATATTTTCTAATAAAACGAAATATCATGTATGCCTGGTCATAATATGCCTGCATAAATTCACGTGTCAATTTTTTAAAATTAAATAGGTAAAATTTATATTGTACGTCTTTGAATGATGATCTGTAGGTAGGCTTTGAATGATTAATTAAACTACCTTTTGGACACACATCGACGAGACGGACACTAGACGATTGTCAAACGTCTCGCACGACGTCCGCTCTTAAATAAAAATAAAAATTTAATTCAGATTCCGGTTTAATTCAGTCTCAAATCAACATGACTAGCGAGAGACGGACACGGAACATATCAGCATTCCGTACACGGTAATGAGTCGATGAGTTTTGTTTAATTTTTCCCGTGTTCGTCTACTGTGTGGTGGACAGTTGTATGCCAACGTCGTCGGATGGTCGGTAATTTTTATCTCTTCTACATTTTTCTTCTAACGCTAATGCTAATAGTGTATTGGAAACAGATAAATCCCGTAGGACACTCATCTCGCATCCGTCCCGTGCCCATCTCGTCAATATGTGACCTATAAAATGAGATTAAATATACAGGGTGTATCTAAATAACACCGAAAAAATTCAAGGGGCGATTCTCCGATGAAAATTAATAGGGGTCTTTGGTATAAAATTTTTTGAAAAAACCCTCCCCTGAAAAGTTACGCCCCTCCTAAAATTACAAAAAAAAATTGTTTTTCTTTTTTATCTTCCACGTACATCAAGCTAAAGAAACCAAACTTGGTGAACATTATCTGTCAATAAAACTACACTTTTTGAATTTTTTTCAACCCTGAACTATTTTTGTAAGGGGTTGAAATAATCAACCCCTATGACATTTTTTCTTATAATTTTTTTTTCGATAAAATTTTTTCCTTTTAAAAAATATGTCTAAAAAACCCCATTCATTTACTAACTTTTTGATCTCTTCAAGTTTCTTCGAAAAGTTAAGGATTTATGACAAAAAAAAATAAATGTATTGTAATGTATTTTTAAAAAGATGAGCTGTTTAACGCGAGTGTATTTTGCCGAAAGATCTAGTGGCCTGTTCTTTACAATGGAATCCGTAGAAACAAATGTCAATGTCATTTATTGTCATATTAAATAACATTTTATTAAAAAACACTCAACCAAATAGTTGACCTATGATTCTACTAGGCTAAGAAGTTTGGAACTTAGACTAAAAGTGAACAAATGATGAATAATGTTATAACAGTAACAAAAAATAAAAATCTGTCGGATATTGACAATACAATCTACAAAAAATGTTGAAAATGATTGCCTTCAGCTTCAATACAAGCATCTACTCTTGTTCTCATAGAATTGCGTATGCGTTCAAATATTCCTGGTGAATTTTTTATCGTTTCACACCCTGCTACAATGCGGTTTCGCAAATCATTGATATCTTCAACTGGCCTTGAGTAGATCAAAGATTTCAGATATCCCCATATGCAAAAATCCAAAGGATTAAGGTCAGGGGAGCGGGCTGGCCAATTTACATATCCTCCTCGACCTATCCATCGATTGGCATACACCTCATCCAAGTGACGTCTTGCACGTATACTAAAGTGGGCTGGTGCACCGTCGTGCATAAACCATAAACGTTGCCTAATTTGAATGGGAACTTCTTCAAGAATAATAGGTAATTCTTCGAGAAGATGACAATATGAGTCACCATCTAATCGTCGTGGAAGAAAATAGGGACCAATTAAATGATCGTCGATAATTCCGAGCCACACATTTAATGAAAATTGATACTGATGATTTCCTTCAAAAAAGTCATGAGGATTTTCCTCAGCCCAAATATGATTGTTACGAAAATTTCTAATACAGTCTCTTGAGAAATTCGCCTCGTCAGTAAATAAAATATTTCTTAAGAACTGCGGCGCTTGGCCGATCATATTAATAAGCCATTGACAAAAAACCACACGTGGTAAAAAATCTCGAATCAGTAACGACTGCACCCGTTGGAGATGATAGGGATATAACTGTTGTTCTTTTAAAATTCTAAAAACTACCGAATGGCTTACATTTAGGACACGAGCTATTTTCCTGGTACTAGTTTCTGGGGATTCCTCAATTAAATTAAGTACGGCTTCATCGACAGCTTCAGTTCTAACTTCTCGGCTACGGCCACAGTCATGACTTCTCTTTTCAAATTTTCCAAGTTCCCGCAAGCGTTGGTGAATATTTGTGAACGTAGTATGGTGGGGTAATCTACGCTCTGGGTACTGTTCAGCATAAAGTCTTTGCGCTTCCAATGCATTACCGTTAGCATACCCATATGTAAAATGCATATCTGCCATTTCTAAATTCGAATAGTTAACCATATTTTCGGTTTATTAACTAATATTTTCTACACAAAATCATGAAACTTGTGAAATAGTAAGAAACAGTAACAATAAATGACATTGACATTTGTTTCTACGGATTCCATTGTAAAGAACAGGCCACTAGATCTTTCGGCAAAATACACTCGCGTTAAACAGCTCATCTTTTTAAAAATACATTACAATACATTTTTTTTTTTTTGTCATAAATCCTTAACTTTTCGAAGAAACTTGAAGAGATCAAAAAGTTAGTAAATGAATGGGGTTTTTTAGACATATTTTTTAAAAGGAAAAAATTTTATCGAAAAAAAAATTATAAGAAAAAATGTCATAGGGGTTGATTATTTCAACCCCTTACAAAAATAGTTCAGGGTTGAAAAAAATTCAAAAAGTGTAGTTTTATTGACAGATAATGTTCACCAAGTTTGGTTTCTTTAGCTTGATGTACGTGGAAGATAAAAAAGAAAAACAATTTTTTTTTGTAATTTTAGGAGGGGCGTAACTTTTCAGGGGAGGGTTTTTTCAAAAAATTTTATACCAAAGACCCCTATTAATTTTCATCGGACAATCGCCCCTTGAATTTTTTCGGTGTTATTTAGATACACCCTGTATATTTTTTAAATTTTTGTGGTGGGGTTTTGTACTGTGATGAGATTAAATTACTGAAATAAAACGTTTCAGGAAACATCTGTAAAGGTCCTGTAGGTGTTGGATATACTTGTTATTGTGCCCCCTTCTTCAAGAATTTGAAAATTCGAATGGAGAGAGATAAAAGAGAATTTCAAAGAGCTCAAGTCAAACTAGACCAACGGGTATCTAATTTAGAGCATCTCATTCAACGGAATCTTCAGAGAACTAAGAAGAGAAAATGCTCGTTTACTAGGTGTAGGAGTTTGGAAATGTTGGACACCTTTGATAAACCATCGATGCATACTGCGAGGTAAAGTCTTTTTACCTTCAACTTTGTACATTCAGATTGACTGAAAATAATTCTTAATTAATACACCGTACATCTTTTAATTGTGTATAAGCATATTACGAAATATATAGTAATACTAGAAAGATAGATAAGTCAACATGCGCCGACTTGATCTTTCACTCGAACCTGATGTTGGATCGTCTTGCACAGCGCACTCCATGTCTAATTTCACGAGACATCTCGTTGGTAAATACATTACAGTATATATTTTTTTTATCAAAATGTTTCATCGTAAATACAAAAAGAAATAAAAATGTATGTTCCGAATACGATTAGAATCCGGTTTCATTTTGTAAAACGTATATAAGTTTTCCATAATAAAAGTTTAATAAACAGTAAAATAAAATAAAAAATCAGGTCTCGGATTGGATCCCGTAATATCCTGATGAATTTAGGTTGGTTGGTGGAACTTTTCACTTTCAACAATAGTTCTGAATATTTCAATTAACAAACCAAAATAAGTCGCAGATGACAAAAAACTGCCTGAACAGACCAGACAACATGCCCATGTGCAAAATTCGTTTTGACTTTCCACAAATACTACAGTCAAATTAGAGTTTGAACGTGAAAAAATTATTAGTAGACATTTTATTGCACTTTATGACGGGGAAGAAGAATTATAATATCAAAAAAGTAACTCGAAAGAAGTGAAGCTAAGTTGACAAATTGCAAATAAGTTGCAAAATTACGTGTTTTTTTTACTTTTTTTTACTGTTCATGAAAATCTAGATGACATATCGGAAAAGTTAATGTTTTATGTTATAGGCAATTAAATTACCTGCAATTTAACATAGACTAGGCGGTATCTGTTTTGGTTTGGGTGAATCGTATATCCACGGAGATTTTTGGCTTTTTGACTTTCGAATATCACTAGAAATGAAATTTTTTTTATGCTGTCACCGAACTTGAGACTTTGCATTAAATCTAATGTAAAATAAATATAAAATCATCGTAGACAGCGAAAACACAGCGACATCGCTGTCATCAGTCATCAATTAAATTAAGATAGTGACAGACGCATAATTACGAATCCACTACTGACTCTCAGGCCACAGTAAACCAAATCTCTGACTATTATTTTAGTATCAAACCATTTTAGAAAGTTTCTGTGATTTTTTTTTACAAAAAAAAACAGCAATACTAAGTTCTACGCCTTCCTAGGAGTCTCACTAGCCGCGGCTTCGAAAAAATCGGGTAACAAGAATCTACTAGGAAACGGAGGCGTAGACATGGCGCCCAACGTGGGGTCTCGAGTGGACAAGCGCGCCCACAAGGACCTCACAACCAGGTATCGATATGGAAAATAGCTATCCACCTCCAATTTAACAATGCCATTCAGAAATAGACAGTTAATCTTTTGGACCGGCACAACATTCCACTCCAAGGCAGGAACCACCCACAACTGAAGAACGTCTCATTGATGCATTTACGGCAGGCGTACGCAACATGCTACAGCCGGAAACAAGGCCGACACCTCGCCACACCTTTTGCGGCGGAATCACGAAGTGTCCGGCAACGTTCTTCGCGCTCTGATGCGTGGACACCAACGCCGGAGATGGGATCAATACCTGCCCCAAGCACTACCCGTACTCCGGACAAGACTGCAATAACAACGACCAGAACGAGCTGTCATCCCAGATCTTCAACAAGATTTCCAAACCAGTGTCTACAAACGAGACGACGAAATAACATCCACCGAATTCCAGGTCAGCGCACGAGTCGTGGTGAAGACTCATCCGACGAATCGAGAAGCTTTCGCCCCGGTCTGGACTGGCCCCGCCAGAGTACTACAATGTTTGGGAGACGTTACCTACGAAATCGGGCGACACAGCGCTCGAACTCAACTCCACCACATAGACGACCTCCGCCCAGCGCACCAGGGTAATGATGACATCGAACTAAGCGATGACGAGTCCGAAGACGACGACCAAGTCTCAGGGGACCACCACCAACCACAACCTCCACAACCAGGCCAGCCAGCTACCAGAGACCAACAATGTCAAGGTGACATGCCGCTCCCGATCGAGCCACCACAGCCAGGTCCAAGCCGCAGACAGCCTAAGCCAAGGTCCACCGCAGCAGACGCAGATTCATTAGGTCAGAGCGATCATCAGCTCTCCTGCAGCAGCCAAAGCCGAGCCAACAGCGAGTCCAGACACCTAGGCCACAGCTTAATACAGCTGGAAGAGTCCGTGTCGTAGCCTTTGATGTGGCGGTCGAGAACCAAGCGAGACGGAATCGTGCTAACTCTCAGATTAAGCGGAATTGTCGGGGCTGAATTAAAATAATTTTTATTATTGAAATAAAATATTCAGTTTCTACCTGACAGAACCGTAGTAGGTAATTTTAATAATATGAAATTTGAATTAGAATATTACGTGGTATGACATTAAAAGTAGAAAATAGGTATTTTAGATAGGTAATAGGTTTTGTAGTTGGAGTAAATACGGATTATTAAAAGAAAACTTGAAGAGTAATTAAAATTCCTTGTTGTAAGTTCCTGTTTACTGACGTAATCCTTAGAGAAGAAAATGGTTAAAATCGTGGTTTTTTCGAACAAAAAATCGTTAATATCTCGAAAACGGTAGATTTTAGAGAAAAGTTGCATATGAACATTTTTGTTCAGGATACCCCAAAAAGCATATAAAAATGTATTTCGAGCGAAAAAATCGAAAATTACGAATTTGTTTAAAAAAAAATTGTTTAAACAATTTTTGACCATTAGTAACGTCTGGCAACATGCGGATATGATTCAAGGGTCATTTTTTTAGTAAGATTATGAAAAAAAATTCGAATGAGAATCATGTTCCTGGCGGGAGCAACGATAAAGCCTGGACTAATACTTATACATATTATAAAACATACCTACAATATAATATACAAAAAAATATAATAACACAATATATAGTATTAAAAATATAATCATTACAGATTTCTCCATTATTATAAGTTTATTTTTTGAATATTCCTAAAACTTTTGGTTTATAGTTTATAACGTATAATAAATTCTAACCCTTAAATATAACCTAAGTACAAATTCTTTCGGAAAAGAATGACACGAATGACTAAAAGGTAGTCTTTTAATTAATTCAAGAAATGTGCTACAAATGTTATTTTTTGTGGATAATTGTTCAAAATTATCTTGAAATATATTTTCAGTGTTACAAATGAGCTCAACAAAGTTATCGTTTGGCATTTGCAATTGTCCAAATAAGGTATCTTCATTTTCATTATTATATAAAATAAAAATAAATCAACGAAATTATACCCACTCCTATGATTGCAATTCTTAATACCCGTTGTCGTTACTCGCCTCAACGAACGCCAAAGCCGTCTTTTCCGCTGGAAGGCGGGGCATAAACGCTGCGTGGCGGAATCGACGCTAACCGTTCCCGCCAAGACAGTTGGGGAGCTGTATAAGCTGTGCCTAGGCCACCACATGGCCCTGGTAACAAACCCAAACCAGACGACCTATACTACACCATAGCAGCAGCCCAGAGAGAACAAGACTAGAGAGGACCACCGTTCCCGAGCCGCTGTCCCAACCGACCCAGAGTCCATGCCAGAGCAGCGAGCCGACAACAGAGCACCATCAAATCAGGGCGATTTACGTTCTAGTTGCCGTGCCAGCTGTCCAAGTTCAACCAAAAAATCACGAATCCAGTCCCAGTGCAACCACGAGGCCGCAGATCCGGAGCAGAATGCCTGATCCAACCGTCAGCCGAGCCAAGTAACAAATACCCTAGAGGTATTCGCGAGTGAAAGTAACAAATATTCCCCAGAGACAGAAAAGAGACTGCATTTTTTTCCCATTACAACATTTACTTTTAAATAACGTTTTGCAAACGTTCATTTTTCGCACTGGGTGCACATTGATTTCCATTTTTCATGTAAACATTACATTTCTTAGTTCCAATTAAAACTAGGCCCAACAGTCAGTAAAGTCGATTCGCACGAAGGAGGGAGGTGTCACCGAACTCGAGACTGTGCATTAAATCTAATGTAAAATAAATATAAAATCATCGTAAACAGCGAAAACACAGCGACATCGCTGTCATCAGTCATCAATTAAATTAAGATAGTGACAGACGCATAATTACGAATCCACTACTGACTCTCGGGCCATGGTAAACTAAATCTCTGACTATTATTTTAGTATCAAACCATTTTAGAAAGTTTCTGTGATTTTTTTTTACAAAAAAAATTACAGCAATACTAAGTTCTACGCCTTCCTAGGAGTCTCACTAGCCGCGGCTTCGAAAAAATCGGGTAACAAGAATCTACTAGGAAACGGAGGTGTAGACAATACGCATAGAAAAAAACGTGGGCTTAACTTTTGGCGGCACAATATGTTTAAAAAATTCGAAAAATGTCATATTTTTCTTCCTATTCAATTATGTATCTTTTCAAGAGTTGATTTTAGGCGAAAATGGAAGAGGAAAAAAATGTTTGTAATTAAAATTTTTACAAAATATGACTAGTTACAAATCATGGGTATTATTGTAAAAATCGAAAAAAATTGCCAAAAGCGAGGTTAAAAAACATTACAGTAGGGTATTTTTACCGTTTGGGAGTCTCTCCCCTCCACTTTCTGGCTTAGGATAACCTTGAGGCCGAAGGCCGATGGCGTTGGTGTATGGATGACCTTGAGGCTGAAAGCCGAAAGTGATGTAGGTTGGTGACTTTCATTTGACCTTTGCATTGCAGTTAACCTTGAAATTAGATTTGTATGGTATCTGAGAGAGGAGGGATTTTACACTTGAGGCCGAAGGCCGATGACGTTGGTGTATGGATGACCTTGAGGCTGAAAGCCGAAAGTGACGTAGGTTGGTGACTTTCATTTGACCTTTGCATTGCAGTTAACCTTGAAATTATATTTGTATGCTATATGAGAGAGGAGGAGTTTTTTACATGAGAAGATGACATTCATTTGACTTTGGCATTGCCGTTAACCTTGAAAT